TTTTTATTAGAGATAGGGTTTCACCGTGTTGGCCAGGCTGGTCTTGAACTCCTGTCTTCTTGATCCACGCCCCCCCCGGCCTCCCAAAGTGCTGGAATTATAGGCATGAGTGACCTCGCCTGGCCTAATTTTTGTATTTTTAGTAGAGACCGGGTTTCACCATGTTGGCCAGGGTGGTCTCGAACCCCTGACCTCAGGTGATCTACCTGCCTTGGCCTCCCAAAGTGCTGAGATTACAGGCATAAGCTAAAGGAATTCCCTCTAACAGCGTGTTGTACTGGGTAATAGCACAGTCTGTAGCCAGGTTCTGAATCCCAGCTCTGCCAGGTATGGGCAGAATTACCTTGGCCAAATTATTGCATTCAGCCTCAATTTCCTCATTGGTAAAATGGGGGATGGTAATTGACCTGCCTTCAGAGCTGGTGGCAGCTATGAAGGCAGCACTGGGTTGCCCTTTTCCATCTCTAGTAACTCTGTCTTTTTTCTTCTGTTTCCACAGGAAGTGCATGACCTGCTCCGTGCCTATGAGCTCAAGTACTGTTTTGTGGACAAATATAAAGGGACAGGTTTGTGGGGCCATGGGTGGGCCAGGGCAGGGGTGACTGTCCCTGAAGATGGGAGGACCCTGGCCCCGTGTCTGCTGCCCTGAACTGTCGACATTGCTGCAGGCCCAGTATTGCCCCCAAGTCTAGCATGGCTGGTTGCCCCATCTGCCTGTCGTCCTGGGTGCCTGTCTTGGGACAGCCTTCATGTTCTCCTGGAGAACATTGGGCTGATTCTTTTCCTGCTCCACTCGCTTGGCATTGAATGAATAATTAACAATGCTTGGCCTTGGGCTCATTCTCTTCCTGCCCCTCTTGGCTCACCCGGCCAGTCACCCAGTTACCCCACCTGTATAGTCTTTTTTTTGAGACAGAGTCTCACTGTTGCTCAGGCCAGAGTGCAGTGGCACGATCTCGGCTCACTGCATCCTCCACCTCCTGGGTTCAAGCCATTCTCTTGCCTCAGCCTCCTGAATAGCTGGGATTACAGGCGTGTACGACCATACCCAGCTAATTTTTGTATTTTTAGTAGAGATGGGGTTTCACCATGTTGGCCAGGCCGGCTTCGAACTCCTGACCTCAAGTAATCCGCCCGCCTTGGCCTCCGAAAGTGCTGGGATTACAGGGATGAGCCAGCATGCTCGGCCCTGTGTGGTCTTTTTAAACGCTGTATTCCTTTGGCTTCCACCTGGGCCGTGCCCCTCCATCTCTGCCTAAATGGCTGCCTTCCCCTGACCACCATGATTCCGTGTTGCTACTTGTTCTCTCCCAGGTAGCAAGCTCCAATCTTGCTGCCAGTCTGATCAAACCTACTCCTAACCTTAATCATTCTTTTCTTCTCAAAATCTGAGGCTCCTCCTCACACTGCCTTGGAGGATGTGCCTTGCCATCATCTTCTCGGGTGCCATGAGGTTCTGGACTGTTCGCTCTGCCACTGTTCTTTGCTGTCCTCTCTTCTATCCAGGCCCCACCCACGTGGGGTTGGACAGCTCCCCATTATAGCACTGAGCAGGCTGGGCTCTTGTTGCTGGCCCGCCCACCTGCCTCCTCTACGGAGTGGTCAGCTGCATGAGAATGGGGACAGGTCTTGTCAGCCATGGTTCCCCCAAGTGGGAGGCCCTCAGTGGGTATCTGTGTCCGCCATGCATTGTGCCAGGTGTTAGACCTCCCAGGGCCTTTGCTTGTAGCCTGTAACATGTGTGGGAAGGAGTGAAAGACAGGTGTCCCTCAGAGACCTACTCCCTCAGAGACCAACCTGGCAGGCTGGGGTAGTGATTAAAATCTTGGGCCCTCAAGGCAAAAAGACCTTGAGTTTGAATCCTGGTCTGTGGCTGTGGGCAAGTGATTTACCCTTCCTTGGGCTCAGTTTTCTCACCAACAAATTAAGCATGACCGTAATGTGTCTCCTAACATGTTATGACCTGCCTCAGTTGGCCATGGAACCGAATACATTAAAATGCCTAAAAGGCTGGGCACAGTGGCTCATGCCTGTAATCCCAGCACTTTGGGAGGCCATAGCAGGTGGATCACAAGGTCAAGAGATTGAGACCATTCTGGCCAACATGGTGAAACCCCAACTCTACTAAAAATACAAAAAAAAATTAGCTGGGCGTGGTGGCGCACGCCTGTAGTCCCAGCTGCTCGGAAGGCTGAGGCAGCAAAATTACGTGATCCCGGGAGGTGGAGGTTGCAGTGAGCTGAGATGAGATTGCGTCACTGCATTCCAGCCTGGAGACGGAGTGATGAGACTCTGTCTCAAAAAAAAACACTGGGATTCCAGTGCATAGTAGTAGGCACTTGTTAAACAGTGGCAGGGTCAACAAGTCAAATGTTTGCTGAGCACCTAGTATGCTC